GCCTGCTGTGTTCATCCAGCTCTGCACCTTGTTGTCTCGGATTCTCCAGCATCTGCAGTTCCTACTATCTCTACTGGTATGGATGAGATGTTTTGCTTCAGTTTCCCTTCTACTTCCTTTCAACTTTTTGAGGAAGACTGTCAAGACACTGATTCTCGACTTTGCATTCACCCGTTGAGGATTCACCTTTTCAGGTGTTTTTCTTCCCCTTCCTCTTTCAGGGAGAGAATTTGCAGAGACAGAGTAGCTAGCTGCTGAGGAATTTCCTTCAGTTCTCCACTCTCAGGAGAGATAGATGTTTTCTACTTCACAGAGTTGGTTGTTTCTGATGTATTGTCCAAAGGCAGAGCTGTGCCACTTGCCCACGAACAAATCAAGAAGTTGTAATCATCCTGAACAAGCACAACAGGTTCTGGTTGTGAAACCAATCAAAAGTCTGCCACTGGACAAAACTGCACTGAACACACACTCACAGTCACACAGTCTACTGCTGGAATAAGGCCAACTTGTAGATATAACACATAGGATTCTGGTAATTCTTGTTTTTTTAAATAAACTGCAAATCACCTTCCATAGTCCCCTGGCTTAAAGCAATTATCTCTTCCCATTTTAAGTCCACGTTCCAAAAATAAAAGTGATGTATGCAAATGTTCTGGGCTCTGAGCTGTTCAGGAATTTTCATAATTACTTTCATCTGAACAGGATGGAACGTTTAAAAAACTCTCTGTATCTCTGAAAGTAAATCTTAAATTGGGAGGCAATTCTTTTCATTTTTTCCCCCAATAACAGTAAATAATCTATTATTGGAAGAAAATGTTCCTTTTCCTTTCAAAATATTGCCTAATATAGAGCTGCACCATGCTGACATGCATCCAAAGAGTTATGAATTACCAATAGCTTCCAGGGGATTAAGAAAGCTCTGGCATTTTATGTTCCCCATGTGACTACTGAGGTTGAAGGTGGCATTTTACAAGGGCATCAATCTATACATTGTACAATTTATTCTCCTGAGGCCCATTGCAAGTTTCCTATAACTGAATGCCTTTTGAAGTAATCTGTTATGATGATATGCAAAGTAGTGTTATTTGGCAGTCGACCAAGCATAGTAAGCAGATCATGGGTAAGCTTAAGTTAGTAATGATCTTTTTTCCCCTAGATGGGCTCATCTTGCAGAAAGCTTCAATTCATATTGTTGTATTTGATAGGAAAATTGGATTTCCTTCATTGATGTGTGCAGGGAAGTGGTAATACAAGTTGTTCTTGCAGGATTTTTCATTTGTTTCCTTTCTGATTTCAGAATGGCTACAGAGAACATCTACAGATTGGTAAGCCCTAAAATGAAAGCAAGACAAAAAAATTTCTGACTTGATGCCTGAGATAAAGGAATTAATCCTTTGTTGTGATGCATGTGTGGCTTTTGGAGGAACAATAATTGACCTTAATGCTAATTTTAAAAATTGCAGATTATAATTCATGGATAAAATGGATAGGATTATTTACGATCAGTATTTATTCAAACCTACTGCTTCAATGATTTCTAGATTTTCTCTAATAACTGCCTTTTCGTTAGGGTACTGGGGCTATTTCACGTCTCCAGCTTACGTACTGTACTGGTTTTCAGAAGAACAAGAAGAAAGCAGAGTCGACATTTCAGTCTAGTGACCCTTCTCTTTCTGTCCACGGATACTGTGAGGCCTGCTGAGTTTCTGTAGCAATTTCTGTTTTTGTTTCAGATTTTCAGCATCTTCAGTTCTTTTGCTTTTGTTTAGTGGTTTTCATAGGAACTGGTGTAGGCCACTCTCTCCTTTTCTGAGCTTGTTCATAGGTTCCCTACAGCACAGATATAGGCCATTCGGCACATTGAGTCTGCACCGACCTTCTGAAGAGAATCCCACCCCAGAAGCCCCAATACCCTGCATTTACCATGGCTGATCCACTTAACTTGACATCTTTGGACTGTGGGAGGAAACCAGAGCACCCAACAGAAACCCATGCACACATGGGGATGACTTGCAAACTCCACACAGACAGTTACACAAGGCTAGATTGAACCCTGGACCCTGGAACCCAATCCAGCCTTGTGTAACTGTCTGTGTGGAGTTTGCAAGTCACCCTGCCAACCCCAATGGTTGTTTTATAATTTAGTTAGATCTTGACTGACCTCTGCCTCAATGGTATTTACCTACCTTTACTTCAAACCCTTATCTTGCAGAAACCTGCCTCTCAGTCTTGAAAATTTCAATTTTGTGGAGCGTAGTCTCATTTTGAACTAGCTTTACAATGGGAAAAGTGCTTCCTGATTGCACTCATAATTCAAGCGAGTATATTTGGAAGGTAATAATGTTCCAGGCCCAACCATCTTCAACTGCTTCATCAATGACCATATCTCTGTCATAAGGTCAGAAGTGGGAATGTTCACTGATGATTGCACAATGTTTAGCACAATTCATGTCTCCTAAGATTGACAGAGTTTGGGTCCACCTACAACAAAACCTCCTCCAGACTTGGGCTGAAGAGTAGCAAGTGACATTTTTCGTCACACAAATGCCAGACAGTGACTTTCCAACAAGAGAGAATCCAAGCTTCGCTCCTTGACATGAATGATCTTATCATGACTGAATTCCTTATATGAGCTAGACTACTCATATAAGTTCAGTGATTATATGAGCAGGTCAGAGGGTAGGAATTCCTCCTGACTCCCCAAAGCCTGTTTACCACTTTCAAGGCACAAGTCAGGAATGTGAAAGAATATTTCCTTTGCCTGGATGGATACAGTTCCAACAATACCCATGGATTGCAGTGGTTCAAGAAGATGGCTCCCTGCGACTATTCCAAGAATGATTAGGTATGGGCAGCACGTGCCGTCCTAGTCAACAATGCCCCATCCTGTGAATGATCTTTAAAAAGACTAAGATTCTGCCCTCTTGTTGTGGATTCTTCCTTCAGAGTAAGTGATAATCATTGCCTTTTATTCACGAATAGCAGCAAAATACTGCAGAAGCTGGAAATCTGAAATAAGCACAGAGAATGCTGGAGAAACTCAGCAGGTCTGGCAGCATTCGTAGAGAGACAAACAGAATTAATGTTTCAAAGCCAGTATGACTGGATAAATGGGTAGGGCTTATACAATTAATGGGAGGGCCTTGGGTAGTGTTATAGAACAGAGGGACCTAGGGTTCAGGTACATAATTCTTTGAAGTTTGTGTCACATATAGACAGGGTGGTTAAAAAGGCATTCAGCACACTTGTCTCCATTGTTCAGTTCTTTGAGCATAGGAGTTGGGAAGCCATGTTGAGGTTGTACAGGACATCGGTGAGGCCTCTTATGGAATACTGTGTCCAGTTCTGGTCACCCAGTAACAGGAAGGATATTATTAATCTGGACAGGGCTCAGAAGAGATTTCCCAGGATGTTGCTGGGTATGGAAGGTTTGAATTATGAAGAAAGGCTGGATAGGCTGGGACTTATTTCACTGGAGCGTAGGAGGTTGATTGATTGATTAATTGATTGATTTGATTTATTGTCACATGTATCAAAGTACAGAGAGAAGCTTTGTTTACGAGCAGTACAGGCACATCATAGTAGGCAAGGGCACACAGATCATAAGGTGAAGAAAATTTGGACAGAGTGAGGCATACAGGTTACACTGCACAGGACATGCATGAACCCAGGTCAGCATTAACAAGATCATTAACAAGATTACTTGAAGTTAGAGAATCCATTTGGCAGGGAAGAAGCCGTTCTTGAACCTGTTGGTACATGTGTTCAAGCTTCTGTATCTTGAACTTTTAAAGAAGTTTTTATAAAAAATGAGGTGTGGATAGTGCTAATGGTAGTTGTCTTTTCCCTAGGATGGAGGATAGGGGGCACATTTTTAAGGTGAGAGGAGAGAAATTTTAAAAAGACATGAGGGGCAATTTTTTTTACACAGAGTGTGGTTCATGTGTGGAATTAATTTTCTGAGAAAGTGGTGGATATGGGTACAATTACCATGTTTAAAAGACATTTGGACAAGTACATGAATAGGAAATGTTTCGAATGGTATGGGTCAGGAGCAGGCAGGTGGGACTAATTTAGTTTGGGTTGGACTGGTTGAACCAAAGGCTCTGTTTCCATGCTGCATGACTCTGATTCTATGACTTCTTCAGAAGTGGACGAAGAATTGAAGTTCTGAAGAAGAGTCATACTCGATTTGAAATGTTAACTCTGCTTCTCTGTCCACAGATGCTATCAGACCTGCTGAGTTTCTCCAGCATTGTCTGCGTTTATTCCATTTTTCATGAGTGCCTCTTGATGGAAAATGGCCAGCTCTGGCCCATCTATGAGCAGGTTTAGGATTTTTCTGCTACTCTTATTGATTTCCCTTTTTTTTTAATCTTTCTGTGCTCCTTTGCAAAGGCCTTTTAAACTATGCTGTTTCTCTCACTTGCCCAGCCTTTCCTGATAAAGCTCTGTGGTAGGCCTGTACTCCATAGCATCCTTGCTGGATTTTCA